CACACACACACACACACACACACACACACACACACACACATTTCAAAAAAAGAAATGAAAACGGACAAAATGATCCAGCCATGTGGCGGGCCTTGAAACCCCCTTGCCCCCTCGACTTCCCCCTAACCCTCCCCACGTGGCGCAACTTGTGTTCCTTTACCCACTCCGTTCCTCAACTGGTGCACTCATCCTCGTTTCCCGTCTCAATATTCTGATGTCGTTATTGTCTTACCTTGTCCTTGTAAATCATGCTCATGCTCCTTATCTTCCTCATCGTCTTCATCAATCAGCGTAGTTATTGAGGGGTGCTCTCTCTCTCTCTCTCTCTCTCTCTCTCTCTCTCTCTCTCTCTCTCTCTCTCTCTCTCTCTCTCTCTCTCTCTCGTGCGCGCGCGCGCGCGCGTGCATTCGTGTATGCCTGTGTTGTCATGTTCGCTATCGACAACTACACAAAAGGGAGCATGACTGTGCAAGACTGTTTCATCGGATTTTCACCGACTCATCAGGAGGTTGAACCCGACAGTCTGCCCGAGATGCATTTGCGTGCGTGTGTGTGATGTCACATTCGATGTACACATTTGAGAGAGAGAGCGCACCAAGCCCGTAGCACCCAGCACGTGACACCGAGCACCAAGCACTTAACACCAAGCACGTAGCACCGAGCACGTAGCACCGAGCACGTAGCACCGACCACCAAGGACAAACCACGATGCACGCTGACCACCAAGCACCGACCACGACTCGATGCACCAAAGCAGGAGAGAGAGTAGGCGGTAGTATGCACGGGAGTAGGCACGTCAAGCAGCTGCGAGTGTACGCACTGCAAGTAGGCTCAGGTGTAGGAGCGTCGAGAAGCCCCGTGCGTCGAGCAGGTGTGGGAATAGAGCGGGTGCCCACAAAAAGAGTGAAAATGTGGGCCGTTTGGGAGTTTTGAGGGCTGGGTGGCCCGACCGGTTGTCCAAAGATCCTGCGGCGATCCAGGCCGTTCCCTGCCCGACGGGCCCGATTGCCCAGCGGGGCAATCCGGGCCGTCCGGCCGGTAGGACCGCGAACGACCTGGATCGCCGCACAATCTTAAAATCTTAAGATCGTGGGCAGTCTGGGCCGTCAGGCCGGTAGGTCCACGGACGGCCCGGATGCCAAAATTCTCACATTAGCGATTTTAGCAGTGTAGGGTGGAAAAGGAAAAAACAAACACAGATATAAACAGAGATGACGTGCAGTGAGAGGAGAGGAGGTTTAGAGGCAAGGAGGTGAAGAATGCCATTCACACACATAAACATGCCATTCACACACATAAACATGCGTACCGCTCTCTTGGATTGATTGAAAAGCCACATGTTTAGGATGGCCACAAACAGCTGCAGTAGGATGAAGCTCCATCAGAAGTTTGAACTGCACACGCAATCAGAGGACAAGCCACCGACAAATGCAAAACAACCAAAACATGCAACAGCACCCTGAATTATTGCAGAGAGGCTACTGCGTCAGGCATATTTGCAGATTAAGCATCAATCACCTACTGGCTAATGAAGTTAAAGAAAGGCGAGCCCTAATGACTAGTGGAGTGGCCAGGAGTGCATAATTGTCAGTGGATACGCCCCACAAAAAACCCTGGACATGCAGACATCCACCGGCAGAAACGCCCAGTAGACAAAAGCCCACACATTGGCTATGAGCTCCCTACTTGCAACTTTGACCATGCAGACATATTCGTTGGACACAACTGCAACAGTGACAGACACCCAGAGGAGGCTTGCAGACCGTCTCAAGGCAGGGTGCATTGGAAGACACTTTATGCACAAGGAGGGCGAGAGAAGAACTAACCAGAACCTAATTCAGCCAGTGAGAGAAGAACTACGAATATGGAGATAATGGACTGCAGATCAGAGCGCAAATGACTGAATATGAACTTGATTCATGAATGACTAAGCACTTCTTTGCACGGAGCAAGGCTAACAACAGATCCAATACTATTCGAGGTCTATAGGAAGGAGAAGACCAGAATACAGTCACAAGAAATACCAAGTCTATGCTTGAGATAGCGAAACAATTCCACGGAAAATTGTAACAATCTAGAACACCAATACGAACTCCATACCAACATAGAGCTTACAGGGAATAGATGCAGCAATGTTTAGAAAGAACCATCACAAAACAACAGGCTGAGGAATCAGACAAAAAAATTACAAAAGAAGAACTGTGGTTTCCAGCCAATCTCGGGCAACAACAAAACACCAGGGACAGATGGGTGAACAGAGGAGTTTTGTGAGGATTTCTGCCCAATCTTGAGCAATAAACTGTTGCATTGTTACATGGATAGCTGTGGGGCATATGAGGTCTAGGTGAATTCCTTAGCACACGTGTGGTGACGCTTCTCTATAAAAAAAGTAGAAAGACAGGATAACAGGAACTACACACCCGCTGTTAGGACGATGGGGTAACACATTTACCTCACTGTTAGGAAGGGCCCTAACCATCAACACATTTTTTTTTGTCCATGATGTGGTATGCCCAGGGTAGTTTTGGCGCCTACTGCCGACGCCTACCAATCAGGCCGACCCGTAGGCAGTTGGGAGACTGCCTTGCAATTTTGTTTTTTTTCTGATTACATGGTCGTGCGCGGCTTGAGGAGAGCAGCCCAAATCCGCAATAATTTTTTTTCGGGGGTGGTGGGGTTTATAGGGGGAGGTATAGGGGGTTTACATGAGGGTTGTAGGGGGTTAAGCGGGGGGTGTGAGAGTGTTAGGGGGCGGTATGCAGGTGTTTGGGGGTGTACAGGGGTGTTGGGGGGGGCTATGGGGGTGTTGATGGGGTTATTTGGGGTTCTGGACCCTTTCTTTTTTTTATTTTTTTTTCCTTTTTTTTTTGCAGGGTGCCAACCGAACCCCCACCGGTAGGTGCCGACCAGTCTGACATTCGGCTGGTCAGCCCCCGACCAATCCAGGGGCGCCAACCATCGGCGTGACTACTCGGACCATACCCGACCACACCACCAAGGAATTGAACCGCAGAGCCAGGGCATACCTATGGTCAGGCAACCCCAACAAACAAAATACATACCAAAGAAAGCCTGGCACTATATAACAAGGAGACCGTCCAAAAGGGGACTACGAATTATCGACCCCAAGCAGGAAACCAAAGCTCTCCAGATCAAATGGATAATCAACCTATTAACCCAACCCATGCTGGCCTGGCACAAACTAGCGCTTGACAGGATCAGATCTTTAGCGCATGTCGGGCCTATTCTGGGTGATGAATAAGCAGTGGATCTTGAAAACTGGGCGGACAAGACGAGCAGCTAACGCTTCCCCGAACGGTACACGCCCCCTACTCCCTACTGGACTTCTCTCATCCACATATGTAAGGAGACTATGCCTTAAAAAATCAAGAAACTTAAATCAAAGGAGGAAGTCCAACATCATCCCCTGGTTGGAGACCCATGTGTGAGGGACTCACCGGACCACTCACTCTCACTCTCACTCTCAAGCGGCCAGCGATGCCTCTCATGGGTCAAGCATGGTGAATGGCGGGTAAGTCACGTTTGGAACGAAGATAGGAAATCAAATCAGGCCTGAAGGGCTGCCACCACCGAGATAAGAGCCTGTTAACAGTCATTAACAGTATCCTGGACAGTTGGAAGGACCTACTTAAAGAGGACTTCTCATGGAAGCCAGGTGAGTGGGGAATTCTGACCCAGTAGACAGTGGCAAGAAGGGCATACCAAGCTGACAGTCAATCCTGCATCAACTGGAGTAATCCATGTTGTGCGTGAGTGGGTATATGATGTAATACTGTTTCTTTTGACTGGCCGGGGGAATAGGAACCCAACTGATGCTACCCCTAATGGAGCCAGGCCCATAAGGGCCCGTTTCATCAGATAAAAAAAGAAAAAAGAACTACGCACCCATCTCTTTCCTAACTCTACCACAGAAGATCCTGGGTAAAGTGCTGGCATTCAGAATCTTGAATACGCTGGACAAATGCTTACACACAGATCAGACCGTCTTTGTCCCTGGTTGATATATCCTTGACAATGTTATGACACTCAATGAAGCAGCGGAAAAGGCTCAAGAACTCAATGAAAACAGCACTTCATTTTTGATTTCGAGAAGGTGTATGACCAAGTGAACTGGGCCTTCCTCAATGCAAGCATGGAAAAAACGGATGTTCAGGAAATGGATAAGGATACTTTTTAACGATCCTCCATCCCCAATCCATGTCTAAGACCATATGGAAGGGTAGGCCTTCTTCCACCAAGCGGGTCGAAGAGTGCAACAACCTTCTGTGTACCCTCGAATCGCAAGTATACCGTAACTCCTTCAGCGTACTGTCCCACACTGATCAGACTATTGTTGGCCATTCTAGAGACTACTGGCTTATTCAGATCCTGAAATTTCATCCCTAAATGCAATCAGTTCTAACTGTTATACAGGAGATAAAACTCCTGGTGGACCCCTTGTCTACCATTGCTCCTATCCTTACTTTGCCAACCTCTACATCTGCTATCACTAACTGCCCTGGTGTTTTCTTTTGAGATATCCAGTATTTTCTTTAACTGCCCTGGTGTTTTCTTTTGAGATACCCAGTATTTTCGTTTCAGCAGCCCAGAACTCGTGAAGAGTGATCAGTTCCTCGTCTAGGTATGTTAGGGGACCACTCAAAAAGTCCCTACAACAAACGATCTCCGGAGAACTATCTGGACAGTTGGCTACTTCGAACCTCTGCCTTGGCCTGCGAGTGGGAAGGGTTTTCCTCCGTGCACACCTTTTCTCCACTCTAACACAGCCCCAATAGAAGTGGTTGCTACTTCTATTGACCATTCTCTTTTGATTGTTGATGCCCTTGTTATTGCTGTGGTACCGGCTCGTTCCACAGCACGCAGTAAGCAATGATGTGCCCTATCGTGCCACACTTGAAACATTGCCACCACCAGGACTCCAACTGGTTCAGTTGTTTCCAAAGTTGACCTTCCTCACACCCTGGGCGTGGTGGAAACCTCCTTGGACCGCAAATTTTAGGAGTTTGCAAAACTTCACTTCTTTCCATGTGCAGCACTCAAACAAACTGAAGTGAACACCAATCATTGAGATGGCAATTGGAGAGAAGCTTTTAACACCCTGGCTATGGCTGCACCCAAACCCTCTCCTTCAGCTGCAAAGATTGGTGCTGCTGCTGCTCCTCTTCACTCCACCAAAATCAAGAACTGAAAAATGAATGAACTGTAGTCCTAGCTCGTCACTTTTTGCTATACCAATTTTGCCTGGGCGTACAGGGTCCTACCGGGCTCAGGCCTGGAGGTGTAGGTCCTATAGGGTCCTGTGTGTCCAAGATCAGCTAACAGTATGCTTACGTGGAGGTCCCAGGTCAGAATCTGACCGGCAGAAAACTTGAGAAACAAAACAAAAAGTTAAAAACAACTTGTTTTTGTTTCACACTTGGGCCAAGTCTCTGGTTCAAATCCCCCTCAGCCCAACACTCCCTCCACCTCAGTTTTGAAGTCCCTTGAGAACCTATTAGCAAGTCTGTGAACTGAGAGTGGATTCTATGAATAATACAAACATCAGGTATAAAAATATGCAGTATCTCGGACTGCAGTCATCCTCTTCTTCTCCTTTGCTGTTGGAGGCTTCTCTCATAATCTGGTACGATTCGAGGTGCTGTCTCCATCTGAGTACTTCTGTCTGTCAACCCACTCGTCTTCTTCCTCTTCCGGGTAGTATTCGAACTTGACTGAACTCTGTTGTTCCAGGAGGATATTTCTGCTGCCGATCTGGGACCAAGAAATCAACTGGTGTACGTGGCTTCCATCCAAAATGAAGAGCATAAGGTGTCCGCATGGTGGTGGCTGGGTGTACTGAGGAATTGTAAACACTCTCCACCATAGCCAGGTTTCGATCCCAATCAATCTGATCAGGCCTGATTACGTGACGCAGCACCTGCTAAACGGTGCGGTTCATGTGTTCAGTCTGTCCATCTGTTTGGGGGTGATTGGCATAACTCATCTTGAGTTTTGTACCAACGAGCTCCATCAAATTGCCCCACACCGCACTAGTGAAGCGAGAATCCCTGTCGCTGATGATCTCAATTGGGAACCCGAATTTTGAACACCAATGGCCCCAAAATAACTCAGCCACTTCCTTTGCTGAAGAATGTCATTTTTGCATAGCTATCAAGTACTATCAACCTTATAAACTTGGAAAAGCGATCAACGATGACGAAGAGCATGTCGTTTTATCCTTTGACACTGGCAGCCCACTCATGAAGTCCATGGAGATTAACTGCCCAGGCCCTCTCAGTATAGGCAATGGTTGGAAAAGTCCATACGGCTGATGACTTCGGCTTTTTGTTCGTTCGCAAACAGCACAACTCTTGACATATTACACTGCACCATG